CAAATACCTGTCAACAGGTGCAGAAGTCTGAGAGTTCCAGAAAACACCTGATCTGCTCAGAGGGTTGTTCAATGAAATATTAGTTTAGGGGTCCCATCATGCTGGTTTGCTTTTATATATATATTTCTGTTGAACCACAATTCAAAAGCAATGTCATTATCATTACATTTTTATTTACTATTTCAGCTTATTTCAGTGACTGCTGGTTTTTAATGGGAGGGTATGAATACGTTTGAGGACGACTGCAGCTGGTCTATGAAGTGTTTTGTTGTTGCTGTAGATGGTAGATGATGGGTTTTGTTCACTAATACAGACTTTTCCCATCAGAAAGTACAAATGCACAAAAACAAGGAACAAATACATCGTCTTTAATACACAATCATATAATTCATCAGAGCAGAACTGCATCATGTGTCAATCATTGTGGAATCTGCTCAGGTTCCTCTTGGACATTACCATCACCAACACTCAAAACCTCAACCCAAAGGTATATTTTTATTTATTTATTTATTTTAGAAAGCAGCTGGCATCCATGTATGAGATTAAACCGACCACCTGATCAACTGCAAGGTTTGTCAGACCACAATTACCAGACAACTCTGAAAAGTATAGCAAACGTTCTCATATATTAGAATTGTGTAAATCTTAAGCTGCATTTTCATTGCGCCCAGCCTCCATCTCACAATAAACATATTTAGTGATCTACTTATTTGAAGAAACTTTCAGCAAAGGGCAGTAGAGGTATTTCAAGTTTGAGACAATAAGTGCACTTTGTGAGAATTAACAATTTTCTCAGAAGCACTAATGTGTACAATAAAAAGAACTGAAACCCCTGTGAAGCTAAAGTGTTGGTGGCTGAAGACTGGTGGAAAATGTGCTTTGTTCTGGTAAGTAAACAATAAATCACTGAGAACTGGAAAACACAAATGTAAGGAAGAATAACGAAATCACCAGCTGCTAAGAACGAGAAAACATGATTACAGTCATTGAAAGTGTTGTTTCAGAGACAACCCACACCTTATTTTTTCTAATGTTTAAAAATTTAAGAAGACCAAATAGACATAAGCAGGAAAGCTTCCTCCTCTAAACCCATTCCTCAACTCACAAACTTGCCTCTTTAAAAACACTAAAAGCTGCTGTAGTTGTATTCAACTGTAGTACATAAATACACACAACTGCTTTACAATAAAGAGCTCTTATTAAGAGCAAATTTTATTACAATGTAAGTTTGGTGTTCTTGATTTGATGCCTGTCAAGTGGCTGCAGGTCCCGGCAGGCCGAGGAGTGGAGTGTCAGTGGAGTCAAATCCTCCGACAGCAGAGTGATCTGAAGAGAAAACACAGAGATGAATAAAAAGCCTGAACAATTCTGCTCAGATGAACAAAAACGTTGGATCTGACCAAAACAATGAGTGTAATACTCACAGACTCTATTCAGTTGACATGCCTTTGACTTCATCGTTCTGCCTCATCTAGAAAATGCAGACAGACGTTACTGAGAAGTGTGCAGAGGAACAAAACTGTCATTTGAGTCCAAGCAAAACGGTGATGTGAAGCCCTGCTGCTGCCACAGCAACTAAACATGTGCTCAGTTGTATTAATGAGATCGTCTTAACATTTAACAGAATTAGCACCCCCCAATTCTGCTAAAAAAGAAAAAAAGAGCGCTACCTCTGTTGATTTAACCAGATTCTAATTCTGAAGCTGGTAATTATGTGATATAGACTTTGCCACTGAATTAAAACACACAAATTCTTTGTCTTTCACTCAGCTTTACAGTCTGGATTGCACCAGCACAGCAGCAGTCTAAGCTGGGTGGTAATGCAGCAGTGCTCAGTGTTTGATACGTCTGAGGGTCTTATATTCTACCCAGGTATGTTTATAGAACCACCTGTCCAGGTGAACCTGCCTTCACCCTAAACCAGCTGTGATAGGCTCCAGCCCCCCATGACCCTGGTGAGGATTAAGCGGTGTGTAGATGATGGATGGATGTTTATAAAACCTACAGGAAATGTAATGTTGCTCAGTACACAGTTTGTTTCATGCACTCAGTGCCTCCTTTTGTAGTTCATCTTTACAGTCTAATGAAGTCCAACACAACTGTTCTGCCATGATGTCTGCTTTTTATGCTCAAAATATTCAGTTTTTTGAAGTGCAGTTATTTTTGCATTGAGATGTGGGTTTTCCATGAACAGCTGTGTAGGATCAATCTGGTAAATCTCCACAACTACTAACACCGTAGGGTTTGAACTTTACAATTTAAACTGGTACGGTCATTCTATATTTTTAGATAATTATTTGGACTTTCAGCCAAATATTTAAATGACTCTAATTAATATCATAAATCTGTAAAGTCCTCACTTTAATATTTTAACTTGTTAGGTAAACTCGTAGAACCAAAACCCTTCATACCGTCATATGCTGCAGCATTTCCTTTTTTGTTGGTGCATCTTTTTAATCTTCACTGAGTGCAAAGTGCTCTTATTCTAAACAACAGAGCTAGAGATGCGTTTTCAAACTGAGACTCACTTTAAACGGACCACTGAAGCAGCAGAACAGAATCTGGTCCTCCTTCACTGATTATGTCTCCATCAATTCGAGCATCTTTTTTTTTTTTTTGCATTGAGAACTAAATATTCTGACTTTGTTTTATTTTGAGTGCTGCAATCATCTACTGTAATTACATAGTTTGTGGATTTTTGAAGTGAAAAGAAATAATTCAACTCCTACAGCAAACATATTTCACAAAAAATGATCCTTCAAATGTACTTTCAGTATGCTGTACATTTTTCTTGCCTGATTATTTAATTTTAATGCGGTTTTGCTTGTCGATATCATTTTACTTGGATTTGATATGTATTATTACTTTAACCCTTGAATATATGTGCTTTACTCCCATAACTTCTATTATTATTACAAGACAGAGAGCCAGCTGCAATATGACACGTTTTTTTTCTGCCCTTTAAATACGTGCGTGGACTTTCTACTTTAGTGTGTGACTGTAAATCACAGTTCTGATGTCGCCATTGTTTGTACTGATCATACTGTTTGACTAAATTCTGGCAAAAAAATGGGACTGGGAACCAAAACATGAAACCCACAGCGACGCTACACGGAAATGTTGAGTCACATCTACATCACTGACTGTGTAGGTTTCATGTTATAACAAGAACACGTTCTTGTCTAAATGGAATTCCTTGATTTTGCTTAAATGGAGAAGACTGTCAATAAATATCCTGCTACATCAAAAGCACAGTTCATGTTCTATTGAGAAACGAGGGAAATATTTGTTGTCACCCTGGCTGTAATACGCCCCAAAGAAGACTGATGTAGAACTGATGTAGCACAACTAAAGTAGCTGCTGCTCCACCCTGCAGCACTGGTGCAGCACACAGTCCTCACTCACCTCATCCAGCTCCTTCTTAGTCTCGTCCTCCATACGTCGGATGTCGTCCATCGACAGCTCGATCCATTTGTCCAACCAGCAAAACAGTTGTCTGTGGAAGTGGGTGAAAATGCGCCTCTCCACCTGAACAGAGCGGCCGTGTGACAAGAAGAACCAGGTTTTCTATCGGAGCCCAGAACACATCAAAACTCACATTTTGATATTTAAGGAGATAAACAGCTGTAATACCCCGTGAATGAAGTTTTCGATCTTGTTCTGAAATCCCCACTGCTGGAAGTCAACAGTGACCAGCTTATAGGCGCACATGTGTGGACAGTTGGGATTGTTGCCGAGTTCCTTCTGCAAACACACAGTTTGACAGGAAAATTAAAGACAAAAAAAAGAATATGTCCAGACCTTTAAACTCAGTCACTGAATTTCTTTTAAAGGAGTGAGCCCCAGTGGCAGATTAGTACCTTCCAGCCTGGTCCCAGAGGCCCTCTACCGGTCTTCTGCGATTTGAATTTGGCTGGATCCTGTTCTGGGTTGTAGTCCTAACGAAGGAAAGCAGTCAGTACAATGATAGAGAGCAGCCGCGGCTAAGCGCTACAACAGATGTGCAAATGAACACACAGAGTTTGATGCTAATCAGCTTTGATCAGGGATCAATCAGCTACTGGAAGGGAAAATCTGACTTGAAACCTGGACTTGTTTCTAAAAGCAGGCACACTTTTTCCCCCACTTACCTTTTGACTTATGCCACTGCTGTCAGCGATGTCAATGTCAACAACGTCAACTTTGTCCCATTCACTCTGCTCCAGTCCATGCACCTGCAGAGAGGGAAACAATCACACACCTCAGGTTGGATGTGGGGCTTAGTAAAGGTGAGGACTAGATATCAGACTTGCTGTTTGTTGTTGTTCAATAAAAAATAAATGAAAGAACCAGGGTCGACCCAGTGCAGTTAGTCATTTTGTTCCTTGTTTCCTCATGTAGGCTTGAAAGGCCAAAGCAGAAATTCTCCTGTTTTCTAGCAAGAATGAGCAGATTTACTGATAACCAGGTCAGCATTGCCTCTCCTAGAGCCTTTCTGCCAGCATGGGTAATACTTTGTGTAAAACTCAGTGCAGTGGGCAGTCATTGTTAAAGCCCCAGTGCAAGATCCAAGCGTAAACAGACTGGTAGCCCACCACCAGGACTGAAGAAAACACTGGTGGTTGTTTCAAAACGATTATCAAATCATTCAGGACACCGTTTTTAAATGAATCTAAGCTGTAGTTGCAGCTGACATGCACTAGTTCTGGAGAACGTGTGAACACAGCTGCAAAACTGAGAAATATTTACAATCAATGAAATTCTTATTACTCATAAGCAAATCTAACTTACATTCTTCTGATCTCCCATATCAGGTTTGTGCCATGTCTCGATCTTAATCATGAACTTGTCCTTCATGTACTCGTTCTGTAAGCATGGGAGAGACACAGTCAGTCATCCTGTTGCTCTGTAGGCGTACAGGAAGTGTCATTCAGCACAATAAATACAGCAGCTCAGCACTGTGACCACCTCATGCTTCACCATGGAGATAATGTTTCACCAAACACGTCACTCGCCTACACACTCATGATTGAAGTAGGCGTGCATTTACAATAAAACGTGTATAAAGTCCAACGTGTGGAATTAGAGCCTTTATGTGACAGAATACGTACCGTAAGGACTGCATCAGAAGAAGAGGTGGAACGAACGTGACGGGAGGAGAATGCATCAGAAGACAAGAAGAGACAAACGTTAAGACAAACACACCTTTACCTTCACCTGTACTGTACAATGTGAGCACGAGGCTCTGACTGAGAATGGTAGCTAACCTGTAGGCTGTGTGTGTGTGTGTGTGTGTGTGTGTGTGTGTGTGTGTGTGTGTGTGTCTCACCGGTTCGACAGTAGGGATATGCATTCCAGGCCTTTTCATGAAGTTCCAAAGCACCTTTTGGTGCAATCATACGAACGATGCCCGGCACTTTACTGCAGAGACACAAACAGGCGCTGATGCAGTCACAGAAGGATGTGACATCACAGAAGGATGTGACATCACAGAAGTCCACTCTGTTTGCTGAATGTACTCACACACTTCTGCTACAACTCTTGTTGTTGGTTTTTACCATTTGTATGGTTAGCTATTGGAGTGAGCTGTATTACATTCATTATTAGTATTATAAACACTTATATTTTGAAGTATGATCCTCAGCGCTGATAAATCCATTCATCCAGTCAGTTGTGAGCAGTTAAAACTCCAGCTGCTGACTGAACTGTCGCTGCTGCACAATGAATGTTGGGAGACGACGGGCTGAGAAGGATCCACCTGATGCACCTTCTCAGCCGTGGAAAAGAAGGAAGCATCTGCCGGCCTCATTTGAAGGAGTTTTCGTGTCTTAATGAAACGGGACAGCCTTCGTCGTGCTGCTGTGACGCATTCAGCCTTCGAATGATGCAGCCTCTGATTTAGGACATTGTCTGTACCTAACGTCATCCTCAAGGATGAAAATGTTTGACGTTGCTTGGCAACAGCATCCACTGCTTTTGGCACTTCCATGATAACTGTACTATCCTGATTTCATCTCAGAAATATGAAGCATGTTTGATATTAACTGGCCCTGATGAGTCTCTGAGCTATAAACCCCCCACATTACAAAATAATTTGGATCAACACTGGTTCAGACCAAGATCCCAGATCAGATCCTCCTCCAGCTGTCGGGGGGTTGAAATGGGGGTAAAGCAGCCCAAAACTCCTGTGGCGTTAGCCCGGCATAACATAGACTGATCATTCTGTAGCCCTTTTCCAGCAGGTCGGTGGTCACACAGTCCATTAAAGCCGCCTTCTTGTTGAACAAAACCAAAGCTAATTTTTCTCACAACTTTTCTAAACCACTTCTGAATTATTTTTAATGCAATGAAGGCATTAGTTGTAAATCACAAACCCTTTATCAGCGATACCTCATTAGAAAGCGGTACAATCATTTCTGAGCATTTCTGCTTCTATTTCTAAGCACAGCTGTGAGCGTGAAGCGGTGCTGAGCTGCCTACCTGTGCAGGTGGTAGATTTTATGAGTGTACTGCCCCTTCTCTCCTTCCTTCTCGTAGGGCTCGTTCTTCAGCACCTCCACACCTTCTCCTCCTCCCGTCTCATTCTTACTGGCTTCTGCTACTGCGTAAAGCTGGCCCACTTGGTACTGGAAGGACAAAGGAGGACCGCCTGGTTACGGTTGTTCACAGAAGTATATACACAATCATAAATCAGATCAGTTTTCTCAATTTGAAATGTGTGCTGCTGTTTGGACTTCAGGAGCCAAACAGAACAACATATGATCCTGTAAAGATGAGATTCTGTCTCTGGCTGACGGTACGTTCCAATCAGAGGGGTAGCGCTATTTGCTATGTACCGTTAAACATGCATGAACCTGCACGGTTACGTTGTGGCTCGTTTTGAAGGTTCTGTCAGCACTCCTCCTACAGTGGCAGGTTTACATCAGTCAGCTACAACTGACCACAGGACCAAATGTTGGACTGACTTTTTAAAAGAATTTCCTGCTCGTTATCAGTAATGAAGTGGGCTGAGATCAGTCTGGCATCCAGCGACACAGCGACTTGTGTTTTGAATGATTCCATTGAACCACTCGAGCCGACCACATGAAGCTTCATTCACACATCCATTTAGAGGAAAACATTTGAGTGCAGGCGGAGGTCAAACTCATGTCATCGGCTCGGCCATACGGACGGAGCGAAGCGAGCTTTCCTTTCCTGCTGGGAGTGTGAATGCAGCACAAGCTCCAACTTTAACGGGCTTGGTCAAGTTCCTTCATAAATTCATCACAAATAAAGAAACCATCACATGAGTGAATGATTGTTAAAGTGTCTTTGTAAAAAATATGTAATTCCCTGTGCCATTAAAGGCTACCGGCAGCTACACACCCTGAACGTCCATGAACTGAACATTCATCGTCGTTTTTATTGGTCTGCACTTATAAAGCTCCTTTTTCTACCTTAGCGGTACCAAGGAGCTCTACAATGTGTTCACACATTCACACACATTCACACACCAGTGGTGACAGAGCTGCCATGCAAGGCGCTGATCTTGGGTTCAGTGTCTTGCCCAAGGACACGTCGGTATGTGGGGGGGGAGGGGACCGGGGGTCGAACCACCAACCTTACCATCAGTGGACAACCCGCTCTACCACCTGAGCCCTTAACTGTAGGGGGCGCTTTAATGAGGACTGAATCTTAAAGCGTCTAAACTACATGTTTATAAATGTCCACCAGACTATGGATCCTCACATGGATAATGGAAGCAGAGGAGCGTCGTGTGGGCGCTCCAGCGGCACCATGTATATGGTTCTAATCATGACAACTGGAGTCATAACAGACCTGTTAGAGCTGATGAAACCAGTTCAGGTTAATGGCCTCAGACCTGTACTAACCACTGTTCTCAGGACCACTGGGCCAAATGAAGTGTGTAATGAGACAGTATTTGCTTTGAGTATGAACGTGACAGAATCATCACAAAGTAGTTTTAGCAGAGAAGTCTTGATAAAGCCACTGTAAGCTACCAGGCCTGCAGCAGGAAGCAGACGGACAGCTAGAAAAAAGAAAGCTCAGGTAGAAAGTGATGAAGGATATTGTTCTCAGGAGCTGGACTTAAACTAACCATGTGGACAGAAACGAGCCTCCAAGTCAACGCTCACGTTGCTCTGTGTGCAAACAAAGTGGAAGAAGCCTGCTGTGTGAAACATGTTCTGCTGCCCCCCGGTGGCCAAAGAACGCATTAATACAGATTTAAGTTCCAGTCGTCCTGAGAGGTGTTCACAGCCTCCTATTAAAGAAGAAACAGCTGGAACAAGCTGAAACTGATGAAAGTAATAACAAATAAAAATGTAATAAAAAACATGACGTTGTTTTTGAATTGTGGTTCAACAGAAATATTTTTTAAAAACAATTTAAAAAACGATGGAGCCGTGAACTAATATGTAGCTGATCAACCCTCTGAGCCAATCACTGCCATCAGGTGTTTCTGTAACTCTCAGTCAGACTTGTGCACCTGTTGACAGGTGTTCTGGTCCACTGCTCATCAGCAACATGCTCTCATTGGTCCACTGCTCATCAGCAAAGGCCTCTCATTGGTCTGGGACAGTTTTGTTTGTTTTTTTTTAATTATTCTTTTCAACCACAATTCAAAATCAACGTCTTACTCAACTAAATTATAATTTAGCACATTTTTATTTATCATTACTTTTTTCAGTTTCTAGTTATTTGAGTGACTGCTGTGAAGTTTTGCCTTTTTTAATGGACGGGGATGAAGACATCTGAGGACGACTGGATACTGAGACATCTGAAAGTCTTCATGCAGAAAGATGTACGGGGTGGAATGAACATAAGAAAATGTTGTTTATCATAGTTGGATAAAGGCAGTTTTTATCTTATCTATGAAGTGTTTATTTCTCTATCTTACCACAGTAAATGAGACCGCTATGTCTACTTAAAAGTACACTTCCTTCTTCCCACTGCTCCAGCCTCTGGCTATGTACCAGCTGAGAACGGGACTCAGATGGCTTCCTAATCAACTATTTCTCTGTTAGACGTTCCATCATTGTGCTGATGTATTCCTGAAAAACTAAGCTTGTCCTGGTTAACATGATAAGTTTATCAAAAGTAATAAAACGCTCCTCCAAGAACCAAAGAAAGGCTCTGGAGAATTAAAAGGCGAGTTCAGAGATCCCTGCTGAGAAGCCCTCTGTCCTGACCTCAGGGAACTACTCTTGCATATGACTGATGGTGAACCATTTTCCTGTATTTCCCAGACACAGATTGCAGCAGCAGAAAACCAGCAGCGTCAGCCTTTTCCTGACGCTCTTCCCCCTCTCTTCCTCTTCCTCTTCTTCTTCTTCTTCTTCTTCCCTCTCCGTGACCCCTCCTGAGTCAGGCAAAAGTGTTGTGACACTGGAAAGAGTGACTCACATCAACGGTGCCGTCAGCCTGACCAGCCACACACACACGCTAACACACTCACACACACTCTAACACACACACACACTAAAACGTTTCCTGGATTTGTCTCTTCTGTGTGATTGTTCAGTCTTTGTGGATTCTGTAACAGCTACAGACACAACGTATGCATCTGTGCTGTCGCTGTGTGAAGCTCAGAGACGGAGCGACACAAAGACGGAGCGACGGGCTCGTGACCTATTTTGGTAGCCGTGGACGCTCAGTCTTGCCTCTGTGAGTAGGAACCGAGGAATGTGACTGGCCGTGTTTAACCAGTGCGTCTTGTCATTGTCAAGGACGGGCAGACCTAATGCAGGCTTTTATGAGCAACTCAGGGTGGAAAACAACATTCAGCTGCAAGCAACAATCAGCGCAGCACAAAGTCAACATGTTCAGGCGAAGCGTTCAGTCTGTCTGGTGCGTCAGAGAAGAAGCAGACCTGTTGATTTGCATCAGGCGGCTCACTGACATAATGCAGACGCTAAACAAACGCTTCATCGCTTTATAATGAGAACAAGCAACACTGGTTCTGCATTTAGTCACAGAAATAAGCATAAGAATGCCTCGTGAATGTAATTCTACCACTCCTGCAAACATATTTCGTTTAATTAGGACTGCAAATAACAACAATTTCCATTTTCTTTTAATGAGCAGGGCGTCTTTTTTTTTTTTTACTTAATTAATAAGAAAACGCCTACACTGATCTTTTCATAAAAGAACCCTGCGGATGTCTGAGGTCATCCAGTAGTGGCTTAGAAAAACCTTTTTAAAAATGAGAGCCTGAGTTTGAATCGGAGCGCTCTGTCTAATCTAGGATATAACAGCGATGCATTCTGGGAGGTGCAGGATCCATGTGCTTGGATCTCAAAGGATGAGTCCAACTTGGAGCTTGTGCATTTCTTCAGCGGGTGGGCGTAGCTGTACAGTTCAGGCTTGTTGGAGACCACAGCGATGAGCAGCTCCACCGTGCTGATGTGTCTGAAGTGGGAGCGCCGCGGAAACATTTGAGGAACTCAGCGACGCCATCATACGTCAATCTACAGCGTCCTCTGCTTCCATTCATAGCCATCTCAATCACACTGCCGGTCCCTTCCTGAGTGGACGTCCCTTTGGACAGCCGGTGCTCCAGCTCTGTCTGACCGACGGCTTTGACCTCTGAAGTGGTCCAGCAGCTCCTCACAGCGCTGGGTTTGGTCAGTCAATGGTCAACAGCTAATCACCTGTTAAACTAAAACTAGTGAATTATTGTTCTGCTAGCCCTAACTCTGACCATAATGGTTTTGCTGTGCTAGCTAGTTAGCCAACTAAAGCAGTAAAAGCTAACCTGCTCGTTCAAGGATCATCTGGAGGAGCCTGGACTGAGATCAAATAATCAAGCCGGCACTCAGCGGACGACCAAACCTACTGCATGAGCCACAGCTGCACAGACACCAACCAGGTCCGTTTGAATAACTTCTGGTGATTGTTTCAGAGTCAGCGGTGGTCTGATCACAGCAAAAACCAGCATGGCAGCCGAGTAGAGCGACCTCCAGCTCATCCTGCATCTACCAGGAACAGACAGTTGGGAGTTGTACCTGGTCGACTACTGGCCTTTTAAAATGATAGCTTGATTACCTGCCGTAGACTTGGATGAGAAGATTGGTATCGTTCTCATCTCTGTGCAGTGTGACGTTTAGCTTATAAAGATTAAACTCAGCTTCCTTGTCATTGCACATTGAGTACATGCAGTAAGACAATGAATAGAGTGGAACAGACAAAGAGGAGAATAATGTCCCAGTTTATCAAACTAGTCCTTTAACTAGTTTACTTCAATTAACAACGAATCCTTTCAGCTCTATTCAGTTTTACGCCCAAGAACAAGGAGTAGTAGAAGTCATCTAATGCTGAACACTCCCAGCTCTGACAGCCTGTCGCCCATCAGCCTGCTTCCTTCATTCATGGGTGATCCAGACACATCACAGAGCACCGCCCCGCCTTCATTCAAACCTGATCCAGCTCAAGATGTTGTAAGCGTCACACACAGTCAGTCAACCAACACGGAATAAAGCGTTCCACATGTGACGTTTCTCCCTGAAAGGGATCAGAGGAAAAGCCGGTTGTACAGCTAACGGTGTGTTGGGCAGCTTACTGAGACGCTGGCGACTGCTTTGTGTTGAGTAATGGCAAAAACAAAGAGTTCTGTGTTGTATGGAACACTTGGATTAAAAGACGACGGCGGTCACATACGAGTGCAGCGAGAAAGGTTGAATAAAGCTGATGGTTTCCTCATAAAGCATAAATCTAATAAGGAAGACAAGCAAAGAGGTCGACGCCGTGCTCTTGGAGACATGTAGGCCACTGCTCAGGTAGATG